GGAAAGAGGGAAAATGAAAGGTTTGGACAGTTAAGTTAGCTCTCCTCAGTACAGTATTAACTTGGCATTTGGTATGTGAAACAATATGGATTCAGGTTTAGAATTGTCTCTAAAGGAATTATCATTTAGGTCATGTTGTCCATGTTAATTTAACCCTCTTCTCTTAAAGCCAAAGAGCAGCAAGGCATTTATTAAGTGTTCCACTTGCAACAACCTGCTCCTTTTTATAGTAGCAAAGCTTTAATACTGGATGTCCATAATAATGGATACAAGGTAGAAGAGGGACTGCACTCTGTGGTTCTAGGGAGACTGTAATAACCCCTATATTGTAGCAACTTTTCATATTAAGATCTTTGACCTTCATGAAATAGGTATTACTCTGAGCCTTACTCCTTTCCTCTTTGCATGAGAAAGCAGAAAGATACTTGTTGGGGAATAGCTGTCAATATGCTTAATGAACAAGAGAGCAGAGGGTATGCAGTTCTGTAGTTGCAGAATGACTAAAATGATACCCAGCTCCAAGTGAAGTAACCTCAGTAGTTTCACATCATCATGACCTTGATGCTTTTGTGGGTAGTAAGTAAATGTGAATGTGTCACTAGGTAATATGGACATAACTCAGTCTCAGATTATGGGAAATTGCTAAAACTTTAGTAGTGTTTCTAGAAAGGCTGTATGGAAATGGTGGAAACCTAGAGCTTCCTGCTGGGCTTAAATTGCTATGCCTTCCAGAAGATAATCCATTTACTATATGCAGTCAAGGGGTGAATTAAGTTTTTGTTAGAGTGTAGCACAGAACACCTATGCACAATTGTTTATCCCTATAGTATCAGTCTTGTATTACTGTTCTTTGAAGGTACTCTTCTGTAGTTGTAGCATTCATTCAAAAATGATCTTTGAATGTTGCTGTATCAAGTTATGTAATACTTGAAATATTCTATCAAGAAATACTAATTAGCCGGAGACAGCCCTTCCATTTTTACTGCTGCAATGGCACAAAAGTGCTTCCACACTGATGACACTGTTCTCCTTCCAAGATGGCATCCAGTTCCTGGAATGTGCTAGAATCACATTTGGTAACTATCCAAGGTAAGCTGTCACTAAAGAAGCTATTTGATAACTGATTCCACAGTTCCTTTACTTGGTGTTTAACCAATGCAGGGCTGTTAGGGTTGCCTGAATTTAAGTCTAGATCTTAGGTTATCTATAAAAAGAATACTGAGGTATTTGATTACTCATGTTCACAAGCATCCAGGGATGTGGATGACACTAAAAGAGGCACATGGGTTTGTATTATAACTCATCAAAAGTTGCAATACAATTTGACACATCTCTGAAAGACAACTTGAGTCCTTTATCGTCTATAAAAGCAAGCTTTTTTTCCCTGCTAGAGAAGTGCACATAAAAACTTACACATTTTTTTCTTCTAGTTGGTGTAGCATTATGCAAGGAGCAGCTTTTCTTCCTCTTTCTAAAGGGAACAGAGAAAAGGTGCTAGGGAAGGTAGAAATGCTGACACTTCTGATAAATTACCTTTAAAGAGGCATGAAAGGTTCACTGTGCAGGCAGCAACCTCTGGGGGTGAGAGCACTGCATTGGGCAAGGGTTGCAATAGCAAAGCAGTTAAAAAAACACAAGCCAAGAGCCAAACACCAGAACAAATGCTTTTGCTCTAAGCACTTAGCTGTGCTTTGCACCACCATGTTCCAAGGTTACCACAATAAAAGAAAGCCTTTCAGTTTTGACTGATGCCCTTGCCTTTCTGTACTGTTTGTATTGTCTGCAAAGGGAGGACATGCAGTGCTGTGATCGCTCAGAAGGAGGATCTGCATCACCCAGTACCTAAAATGGATTAGCAGAATAACTGACCGGAGCTGCCATTGAATACTGCATCCAAATATGTTGAAGTACATACACACAGCACTGGAGTATTACTGCCTCTTTGATTTGTATATAAATTGTTCTCCTCAGACTTCAAGGTTGCTAGTTCAGTGCCATTTTCTAAAATATCCTGGACTGATTAAAAATACATTTAGATTTACTTCTGGACCACCCTTTGTTTCTCTGCATGAAGACAGTAGGAAGAGACACTTCATTTAGGTGTGGTAATAGTCCACCTGCCATTCTCTCCTTCCATCTGCAAGGCACCTGAAACCATAAGTAACATAGAAAGAGTCACAAACTATGGCATGGTACTAAAAAAATTTTCCTGGACCACTGCTAAATAAATACCTCCCTCCTGCCACCTTTCCTTAGTCAATTTTTGGAACACTTGGAACTTTTTTTCCTTGTTCGCTAGCCATACATTACTGGTCACCTTGCTCGTAAAGATAAATCTTCAAAGGGATTTGACTTACTGTCCAGATGAAACCTGCCTGACTATATACAAATCACAGCTTGC